AAAAAAGAAATAAGACCGCGCGCGCGCGCGCGCGTGTGTGTGTGTGTGTGTGTGTGTGTGTGTGTGTGTGTGTGTGTGTGTAAGATGGGAATTGCTGCAGAAAATGCGGGTGTCTTAGCTGGGAGGAGAGCAGCAACTGGAAGGTTGGGGGGGGGGTGGTTTAAGATGCTGGTTCCCGAGTCCATCCCCAGCCACTTGTCCTATTGTGTGAGAAAGCAGCTTTGGAAAGGGGCTGCAAACTGGGTCTCTGTTAAGCTGACATTAAGCCAAAGACGGGCTGTCAATGAAGGAAGAAGACAGCTGCCTGGTGCCTTTCTTTCTTGATTCAACCATTACATTAAAAAAAAAATTAAATCCACCGTATAATATGATTAATAAAAAAAAAACATCCCTCCATCCACCAGATGGGCCTCAGAAGTTCGTTGAGTGACGGTTCAAATTTACAACGGCACTGAAAAACGTTGACTGTATGTCCATTTTTCACCGTTGCAAGCTTTACAGCGTCCCCGCGACCCCGCGGCCACAATTCGGACGCTCGGCAACCGGTCTCGTACTTACGACCCTGGCTGGGTCCCACGGTCACAAAAGGAGTCACACAACCCTCTTTTGCGACCGTCTGACAAGCAAAGTCATTGGGGAAGCTGGAGTCGCTTAACAAATGGCTTACTAACATCAACCGCAGTGAGTCATTTAACAACTAGGGTGAAAAGGGTCACTCAACGGGGCAAAACCCATTTAACAAAGGTCTTGCTTAACCACGGAAACGTTGAACTCCAATATAGTCATAAGCCGAGGACGGCCTGCACACAATCAAGCCGGTCACTTGATCCGTTCTGCCTCCATTCGGGGTCCCCCTTTCCCAGAGCTCCGTTGTTTGGAGGGATTCGAATACGGGGCGGCATTCTCCACCCCAGCAGATATTCTCAGGGGTGGTTTCCCGTGTCTACCTGAGCCACAGGTACCCCACCGTTGGACCAGTCACAGGAGGCAAACATCTGTCTCGCTTCGGAAGAGGTGGGAGGACTCCTTGCGTTCGCCAAAGGTTGGGATAGGGGATTGGCACCACAAGGTGATCCCGCCCAAGACTAACACTTCTTCCAGCCTGCCTTTTAACCTCCCTCTGGGAAAAAATGTTTGGTTTTCCTGTCCCCTTTCTGCTGTTCCAAGGCAGCTGAGATCACAAGTCCGGGTTTCAGAGTCGCATCCTGATGTATTTCGTAGCAGAAAGAAAAAGCTCCAAGATCTAAAGAGAGACTCCAGGAAGGGCCACTGATGCACACCCTAATGCAGTGGTTCTCAACCTGTGGGTCGGGACCCCATTTGGGGTCGAACGACCATTTCACGGGGGTCGCCAAACAACGCAGTTCGCCATTTTTTCCCCCCTTTTCCTTAGCTGTGCTACTCCCTTTTATTCTATTGGCTTTTGAAAGCCAATTGAATAGACTCTCTTGAATAGATTCTAATTCTATTGGCTTTCCAAAGCCAGTAGGAATTGTCCAGGCTGTCTCTGCTCTGCTGAGCCCGCCAAACATCCCAGTCTGCAAACGGTGCTGCACCAGTTGAGTAGTCCTCGACTTACGACCGGTGGAGTAGTCCTCGACTTACGACCGGTTGGGGGTCGCGGCATTAAAAAGGTTGAGAACCACTGCCCTAATGGTTCATGCAACACCTTTGATCTCGAGCGAGATCTGTTTGATCTCTACCGCAGGTTTTTTTTTCTCAAGCTGGGCAGCTTTCAGATGTCCAGACTCCAGTTCCCAGAATTCCTTAGCAGTAGGGCAAAAATCACTGCCAGGAACGACTGGGAAGAGCTGGCATCACCCTCACCCCCTTGCAGATTTGTCACACACCCCTGTGAATGCGCCCTCACCCAGTGCTTCTCAACCTCCGCCCTTTTAAGAGGGGTGGACTTCAAGTCCCAGAATTCCCAGCCCGCCGCGAACTCCGGGAGTTGAAATCCATCCATCTTTAAATGGCGTTCGTTCAGAAACACTGGCCTAACTGGCGCCTGAAATATCCCCGGCCAGTTCTAACCGTAGCCTTCCTCTTTCTCTCACAGTTGGCGTGGAAAGCTGCCGGCCTTGTGAGGTAGGCCGGGAGAGGAATCAGACTCCGCAAGCAAACTGGATTCTGCTTTATTGCGGCAGATCAGAATAGCCGAATCTTGAAAACCTGATAGAATTTGTTTTCCTCTCGCGATCTTGAGTTTCTTTCTCACCTCTTCCTGCTCTCCGGGGTTAAACTGATGTTCTGTGACTGTTCCCGCCCTCCGTCTTTCTCTGCAACGGCAGCCACAGAAGGGGTAGGCAACCTTGGCTCTTTTAGGACTCGTGGATTTCAACTCCCAGAATTCCTGAGCCAGTTAAGCTAAGCTGGCTCAGGAATTCTGGGAGTTGAAATCCACGAGTCCTAAAAGAGCCAAGGTTGCTTACCCCTGGGTTAGGCTAAAATGTGCTCGGCTGCCGTTATACTGCGGTGGATTTTGTGAGCACAGCCAGCGAGAGGCGCTACAGGTGGTCCTCGATGTACGACAGTTCAGTTAGTGACCGTTCCAAGGTACAACAGCACTGAAAAAAAGGGGCTTATGACTGTTTTCCCACACTTACGACCGCCGCAGCATCTCCACGGAGGGCTGACCCTCTCTTTCCCCCACCTTTGGCTTTTCAAAAGCTGATCATGTGACCCAGGGACGCTGCAACCGTCCGAAGTACATGCCAGTTGCCAAATGTATGAATTCTGATCATGGGGACGCTTGCAAAGGTCGTTCACTGTGAAAAACGGCCTCGAGTCGCCCTTTTCATGCCGTTGTAACTTTGAACGGTCACTAAAAGAACTGTTGTAAGTGGAGGAGGACTTGTTTGAAGTTGCAGCCCTGAAAAAAGTGACTTGGCAATTGAAAAAAAAATTGGACATAGGATCGTTTTTCACGCTTAACGCCTGTTGCATCACCCCCCCCGTGACCAAAGTTCAGATGCTTGGCAACCGACTCACAGTTATGATGGTTGCAGTGTCCTGGGGGGGGTGTCATGTGATCCCCTTTTTGCCATCACCCGTCCAGCAAAATCAATGGGGAAGCTGGATTTATTTAACAACCGTGCGGCCAACTTAACAACTGCGGCAATTGAACAAGCGTGGGAAGAAAGGCCGTAAACTGGGGCAAAGCTCACTTAACAACTGCCTTGCTTAACTTGGGCTCCACTGTGGTCGTAAACTGAGGACTGCCTCTATTTACGGAGGGAGAGTAAACCTTCTAAACATGTTTAGAGACACTTTGCCCCACTATGACAGAGCAAAGTTAAAGCCTAGCCATGAAACCTTGTCAGCCGAAGGGGGGGGGAAAAAAGAGGAGATTTTATTACAATTCAACAAAATAAAATCTAGTCGGGTTTTTTTTGGGGGGGGGGCCTATAAGAGCAAAAACGAATACACCAATTGCCGCTTCGTGCCACGTTCCCCACCACCACAACCTTGCAGAGTAGGCCGGGCTGACCGTCTCAGCGTCTCCCAGCGAGCTTCTGTGGCTGAATGGCTGAGCATCCCTGGTGCCCATCCATCTCCTTTACCTGCTCCTTCTCTGGATCTCACCCACCAGGCGGAGCAGGGGGGGGGCAGGGGGGAACACCTTCTGCCAGATGTACAGCTCCCTCGGCCAATGACGAATCACAACGGTCCCAGGTATGCCGGGAAAAGCTTCCCTCCCTCCCCCCTCCCCTTAATCTGTTTGCCAGAGATGCCATCTAAACGCGCTTCGCCACAACCGATGCCAGGGGAAGTCTGGACACGGAGCCGGAGGCGGCCGGCTGATTCCTCCTTCGCAGTCAGAAACTGGCCAAGCCCAGGAAGGGCGTGCCCGCCCCCACCCCTGCCCTGGCCAAGCCTTTCTGGAGGGGGTGCTTTGGAGCCGACCCCCTCCCCCATCCAGGAGCGGAAGGGCAAAGGGCAGCCAACAAGCCACGGTCAGTGGGGCGACCCCATTGGCAGGAAGAGGGGCCTCTCAGCGGCTTCAGACGCTGTTGGGACCCACCTCCCCCCCCCCCGCTGGAAAGCAACGCAGGGAGGTTGGAAAACTCCCCCCCCCCAAATACAACGGACCCCCGTGCTGGAAAGCAATGCAAAGAGATGGGACCGCCCCCCCCCAGTCCGGCCGCCTTCCCATACACACCGGACTTCCGTGTTGGAAAGCAACGCCAGGCCATAGGTGCAAGGACGGGACCCCCCCCGGGCTGACCCCCCCCTTGGGCTGCAGGCGCATCTCCATCCCTTGGTTAGCTCCCCGCGCGGCCCGAATCACGCGCGGCCGAGTCTCCCCGGAGTCCGCCGTGGCTGGGCCGGCGACCCGAAGGGACCTGGCCCCGAGCACGCCTCACCTGTGGGATGCGCTCCCTCAAGCGGCGGCCCCCGGCGCCCGCACCTTCCCGGCTGGCTCTAAGCCTCTCCTTGTGCGCGGTGCCGCAGCATGGAGTTAAGCAAGGATGCCCGATCCGCCTCCGCCTCTTCCTCCTCCTTTTCCTTCTCCTCCTCTTCTTCCTCCTCTTCCTTCTCCTTCCTCCTCCTCTCCTTCCTCCTCCTCCTCCCTCCTTCTCCTCCTCTTCTTCCTCTTCCTCTCTTCTTCCTCCTTCTCCCCTTTCTTCTCCCCTTCCTCCTCCTCCTCTTCCTCCTCTCCTCTTCTTCCTCCTCCTCCTCTCCTTCCTCCTCCTCCTCCTCCTCTTCCTTCTCCTTCCTCCTCTTCTTCCTCTTCCTCTTCCTCTCCTCCTCTTCCTCCCCTTCCTCCGTCTCCCCTTCCTTCTCCCCTTCCTCCTCCTCCTCCTCCTCTCCTTCTCCTCTTCCTCCTCCTCCTCTCCTTCCTCCTCCTCTTCCTTCTCCTTCCTCCTCTTCTTCCTCTTCCTCCTCCTCCTCCTCTCCTTCTCCCCTTCCTCCCCCTCCTCCTCCTCTCCGCTGCTGCCCCACGATGCTCCCGGCGCCTCGACCACCTGCTCCGACCGCGCACCGCGCGCGCTTACCGAAGCCAGCCCAGCTCCAAGCGCGGCTGCCGGCGCTGCGTAACGAGGCACAGGACCAAGCGCTGCAAGGCGCGGGCAGGGCGCTTCTCCCCCGGCCGAGAGGCGCAAAGGAGCCCAGGCGCCGCCAACGTCGCGAGGAGAAGGGGGTGGGGGGTGGGGCGGGGGCGGCAGGGGGCGGGGCGCCCGTTATATCCGTTGCGGCCCCGCCCACCCGTTCCATTTCCCCAGCTCCGTCCGGGAGCAGCCGCAAAGCCAGACGGTGAGGGGGAGGGGCGTGATTTGGGAGCCCCCCCCGGGGGTGCGGGGTGGAGCAACTGTGGCGAAAGGGGCGGGGAAAGGAGAGAGTCAGCCCTCCTGGGGGCGGGGTCAGGACAGAAATGTCCTCCCTTCCCCCACCCGAAGAGGGGTGAGGTTTTTTTTGGGGGGGGGGGAGTTAGCATCTTCTCCTTGGTTACTTCTGCTGACAGGTCTAACCAGCCGTGCAGAAGGGTCCTCCATCTCTGAATGGGGTCAGAATAACAGTATAAAAGAGTTGGATGGGACCTTGGAGGTCTTCTAGTCCAACCCCCTGCTCAAGCAGGAGAACCTATACCAGTGGTTCTCAACCTTTTTAATGCCGCGAGCCCCAACCGGTCGTAAGTCGAGGACAACTCAACTGGTGCAGCACCGTTTGCAGAAGGGACTTTTGGCGGGCTCAGCAGGGCAGAGACAGCCTGGACAATTCCTATTGGCTTTTGAAAACCAATAGAATTAGACTCTATTCAAGAGAGTCTATTCTATTGGCTTTCAAAAGCCAGCAGAATAAAAGGGAGGAGCACAGCTAAGGAAAAGGGGAAAAAAATGGCAGACTGCGTTGTTTGGCGACCCCGTGAAATGGTCGTTCGACCCCAAATGGGGTCCCAACCCACAGGTTGAGAACCACTGACCTATACATTCCAGACATTCTTAAAAGCCTCCGGGGGATGAACCACCCACAACTTCTGGAGGCAAGTTGTCCCACTGGTTAATTGTTCTCACCAGTTCTAAGTGTGATAAACGGTCACAGGCCACTTTTTCTCGTGCCGTTGTAGCTTTGAGTGGTCACTAAAGGAACGGTTGTTAAGTCGAGACTTACCTCTCTTAAAGCAGGGTTTCCCAACTTGGCAGCTTGAAGATGGGTGGACTTCAACTCCCAGCATTCCCCAGCCAGCAAAGCAAAGGTCGCTGGGGAATGCTGGGAGTTGAAGTCCACCCATCTTCAAGCTGCCCAGGCTGAAAAACGCTGACATTCATGTGAACCGAATCCTTGGGTTGCTGTATATTTTGCACCTAGCTGGAGTCCTGGAATTCCACCCCAGATGCTACCTTGGGCCCTGTTAGCCCCCCATCTCCCTGCCTCGCCTGTCGTCCCCTTCTCTCCTGGGGTCTCACTCCCTCCTTTTCTCCGTAGGATGACTGACTATAATGGGCAATGTTCAATCCGAAGCCACCCAAGAATCAGAATCGGTCAAAGACGGGGTGGACAAAACGAACCCGGACACGAACAAATCAGAACGGGAATTAAGCAAACATGGTTTGGGCAGCCGGCCCCCTGGTCCTCCAGTCCCTGAACACAAAGGGGTCAGCCAGACGCTGAACAGCGAGCCAGGGGGAGGGGACCGGCAGACCGGAACGGCAGAGATGGGGAAGAACCATTCCAAAAAATCAAAACTCAAGCTGTCTTCTGTGTGGACCCAGAACTCGGTCAGTGCTGGATTGAAGGAGGCCAGCCTTTGCGACAAGGACCTGGGGACAGAGAAATGGGGCTTGGCTTCTCTGAGCAGGGCTGACCTTCCCAGCGGACCGGGGCTCCCAGAGGACCCCAAAGGCCTGAAGATGGTGCTCAGGCCCTCTCCGGCAGCAGCCCCCCACCCTGACCCCCAAGATCTGAGTGCCAAGAAGGCTCCGACCAGAGGGAAGGCCAAGGCAGAGAACGCCCAGCTGGCCAAGAGCACGGGAGGAATGCTACTTCAGCCCGGAAAAGCGACCGAAGTCAGCCAAGGAGGAGACCCTCCTAAGGTCGTGGTGGAAACTCAGGTGTGTTGGACTCAACACATTACAACGAGCAGTAAGGAAGGTGTGGAGAATGAGGAGCAACAGCCGGACCCTCCGGCTTCGGCGAAGAAACCGGTGGGGGCAGCGATACCTGACGTGGAGCTGCTGAAGACGGGTGAGGACAACCTGGGAGGGTCTGGCTGTAGACCCCTCAATGAGAAGAATATCTTCAGGCCGGTTCCTTCTGGCTGCCTTGCTCCATCAGGGGCGAAGAAGGTCCCACTGTCGTGGGGGGCTGGCCAGAAGGAGAAGGAGCAGACCAGACAGTCGGACGGTCCCCTTGGGAGCGATGGTAAGTTCCAAGGGCCAGCCGGCGCTGCTCAACTGTCCACGGAGTGGGTAAGCCCCTGCAACAACCCCCCAGAGAAGCTTCAGGCCCCAGAAAGCCACACCAAGACCGAGGCGAACACGGAGGCTCCAGGACCGGAGGTGGTCAATTATGAATCCATCTACCAGGAATTTTTGGACAAAGGGGTGAACCTCTTCTACAGAGTGACCATCCAACCGGGACAGTGGCCCCCCAGCATCGTCAAGCAGAAGCCCAACGTCATTTCCTCCGGCATCTCCTACGCCGACGTCTTGAAGCAGTGCCCCCAGAAGAAGTCGCCCGCCAGCCCCGCGCCCGTCTTGCCCAAAGCTTTGCAGCACCTCAGCACGGCGGGCAAGAAGCTGCCCTGCTTCAAAGGGCCGGAGAGGAACAATCCGGACGAGTTCTCTCCCCTCCGCCAGCTGTTCTTGGAGCACATTAAAAAGGTCACCCCCAAGGAATCGGCCCCGACCACTCCCACCCAACAGGTGGTCACCTTCTTGGAGGAACTGTCCGCCAGCAACCCCAAGCGGGCCGAATGGCAGAGGCCCCGGCCCCCGACGCCATACCCCCAGCGCCGTAAAGGCCAGGGTAAGAAGCTGTCCAAATTTGGCACGGCCGTGTCCCAAGTGGTAGCCTTCCTGAGCAGCGACCCCAAATACGATTGGCTAGTGCACGACGAGAGCGACATGATCCTGGACGAGGTGCTCGGAGCTGGAGAAGAAGGGGCAGCCAACTGCACTGACCTGCCCAGCCCCGGGGGCAAAGGGGCAGAAGGCGGGGGTGCCTCCCAACCAGTGACCGCTCTCTTGTTGGACCAAGCCGTGGTGGCGGAAATCAACGGGAGTCCCCAGAGATCCTGCAGGAAGCCCCAAGGTCTGGAAGAGGGGGGCAAGGAAAGGTCCCCAGTGAAGGGCCTCTCGTCCAGCGTCGCCCAGCATGCCGTCGCTCCACTGGGGAACGATCCACCCCCGGGGCAGTTCATTGGTTCAAGTCAGCCTCCTTCCCAGGAGACCCTGGAGGTCCGGCCGAATTCTTCCATCTATCTCTGGGCCCCGGCGTGCGCTTTGTTGGACCCCGCGGCAGACCCGAAGGTGCCGGCAAGCGCCCCGCAAACGAGGCCCAAGGTCCGCAAGCAAAACCTGGCGGCTCCCAAATCGAAAGAGAAGCTTAAGCCTCCAGGACAGCAGAAAGGGAAGCTGTTGAAAGGGAAAGGCGCGAAGCAGTGGCCCCGCCCTTTCGGCATGAACTCCCAGCTGCGGTTGGACGGGGTCCCTCCTTTTCCGCCATTCGAAAAGGTTGCAAGGCCGTTTTATTTCGGAGAGCCTTTGGTGAGTCCGGTTGATTTAGCTACGCTTGGTGTTTTTTTTTGTCGGTTTGTTGGTTTTTCCCCCAACCCGATCCCCCTATCTACCTCTCCTCCTATCAAGAATGTTTTAGACCAGGGCTTTTCAACCTTTTCACCCATGGTACCACTTTTAGGATATGGCAACATCCGAGTACCGCCAGTCACCTAGCAAGGTGACAAAAACTTGATGACCAAAAAAAAAAGTTACAATGGCACTGAGAAAAATGCCCAAGCCACAGCCGAGCAAGACACCTGCCCGCCCGCCCAGCCACGCTCTTCCTCCTGTCCAAGGTTTTCATTGTTGTGAGCATTTCTGTTGAGGATTGGCAGCGGGGGTGGGATGGGAGGGTGTTTGGTTTTTATTCCCCTCCGTCTGCTGGGTGGTTGCAGCAAGTTTTGGTCACTTCACATGACCCTGGGACACTGTGACTGTCATAAATATGAATCAGTTGCCAAGCATCTGAATGTAAATCACAAGACCCTGGAGATGCTGCAATATTCCAGCTGATCGGCGCTTCTTCTGGGCTCAGCAGAAGCGCCAGGATCAGCGGTGAGCTCCAGCTAGAGACTGGCGCTGATCCTGGTGCTTCCGTTGAGCCCTGACAGCCCTACAGCTCCAGCCATCTCTCGCTCAGGCTTGTGGGGTGCTGCCACCGGTTCAGCTCATTCCCCTCCCCCACTACCATTTTTCTAGGATGGTCGTGTGCCACCTGCCAGGTGCCAATGTACCACAGGTGGTACCTGTACCATTGGTTGAAAAGCCCTGTTTTAGAAACGGCCCCTTTTCTAATTTGAAAACATTTGGGGCTTCCTTGGTCCCCGGAGGGTGGACAGGGCCCCCCTGCGGCTGCAAGGGTGGGACCAGAGGCATCGTTTCGGTTAAACCCCCGGGAGGGTGGATTCTCAATTTGGCATCTCATCTTTTGCACACTGGAAAGGGAGATTTATTTATTTCGTATCCCCACAGCTTAACCCAACTCAAAGAGCAGGAGCAATGAGAAATAAAAAAACCCTAGAGGTGAAGAGATTCAGAAGGTTGCGGCCCAGGGCACCGTTCACGAGCTTTCAAAGAAGGCACTTTTTTTAGCCAGGTGTTTTTAAAATAAAATGACAGTCCCCGACTTACGACAGGTGGCTTAGTGACCCTTCAAAGTTACAACAGCACTGAGAAAAGCAGCTTACGACCATTTCTCACTCTTACGACCCTTTGCAGCATCTCCACAGTCACGTGATTTACATTTGGACACTTGGCAACCGACTCACATTTATGATGGTCGCCGTGTCTCCCGGATTCACAGGGTCCCCTTTTGCCAAATTCCGACAAGCCAAGTCCAGGGGAAAACCTGGATTCACTTAACAATGATGCTACAAATTGAACAACGGCCATGGATTCGGTTTAGCCGGTGTGGCAAGAAAAGTTGTAAAATGGGGCCAAACTCAACCTCCATTTGGTACTCCACTGTGGTCGCAAGTTGAGGACTACATCATGGCTTAGAACTCTGCGCGACGCTCGAGTCAACGAATCTTAGCTATTCATCAGGGTGAAACAAAGCATGACGAGGCAGGAGGTGAACCCAATTGTGTGTGTTGTTTTGTTTTTTTTAAAAAAAGAATTGTTAATTGTTTGAATGCTTTCTTAAATAAGATAGCAGGCCTGAAGCTATACTGAACATTTCTCTGTTAGCCACTTGGGACAGGATAGAAACCAGCTGACCTGTAGCTCATTATATGTCCAGGACCGATCCCTTCCTCTGGACAAGCCCGCCAGCCTTGAACAAGACGCCTCTTCCACCCAGCCTAGTGCCGAACGAGATCTGGAGGTAGACCGATCCCGTGTCCACCACTGGCCGGCTTTCCAGGTTGCCGATTCGTGTCCCAGGAGATGCTACTGCAAACATCAGGAGCAAAGGAAGCTACCCAAGAACGTTCTGGCCTGGTGAGCAGGAACTGGTGCCGTGGCCAGGTGCAAATGGAAAATGGGCTTTCTAGGCTGGCCACGGGCAATAGGCACCAATACAGAGGGGGGAGTATTTATGTATATACACAATAGCACTTTGTATACCGCTTCACAGTGCTTTACAGCCCTCTCTAAGTGGATTACGGAGTCAGCACCTTACCCTCAATGATCTGGGTCTTCATTTTACCCACCTCGGAAGGATGGAAGGGCGAGTCAACTTTGAGCCGGTCGGGATCGAACTCCTGGCGGTGGGCAGAGTTAGAATGCAATACTGCATTCTAACCACTGGGAGGGAGGACGGGCAATAGCACTAGCGCTTAGACTTACATACCGCTTCACAGTGCTTTACAGCCCTCTCTAAGCGGTTTACAGAGTTAGCATCTTGACCCCCAACCATCTGGATCTTCATTTTATCCACCTCGGAAGGATGGAAGGGCGAGTCGACCTTGAGCCGGCTGGGATCGAACTCCTGGCGGTGGGCAGTTAGCCTGCAATACTACATTCTAACCACTGCGCCACCACGGCTCTAATATAAATAGCGTTGTATTTGCATACAAAGATAACGGCATTCCTAGGCTTGGGACAAGCGGCCTGTACAGCTGGCCCATCACGTACGGCCACATTCGAGACCAGAATTTCATGCCATGGTGGTTACGTGAATCGCTGTTGTTAAGTGAATCACGCAACTGTTCAGCAACTTTGGATTGCCCCACTGCCTCTGTCAGAAGCTGCGGGTGGGATGACCCAAAGACACCGCAACTCTTAAGTACGGGGTGGCTGCCAAGTACCAAATTTTAATCACCTGACCTAGGGATGGCTGTGATAGTTGCGTCTGCCAGAATGGATTGTAAGTTATTTTTTAAAATCCCGTTGTAACTTCGAATGGTTGCTAAACAAATGGTTGTTAAGCCAAGGACTACCTGTTTCAACGTCTAGGCCAGTGATGGCGAACCTATGGCACGGGTGCCAGAGGCGGCACTCGGAGCCCTCTCTGTGGGCACACGCACCGTCTTCCCAGCCCCGCCTCCTCCCACGGCCCCCTCCTCACCAGCAGCCCCCCCCCCGGAGGAGAGTCGTCCCTGGGCGAGGCCCACGCGAAGCAGCGCAACCAAGGACATGGTGGCTGAGCAGCGTGACAAGACTCTGCCCTTGCGCCCCGTTGTGCCCAGATGCTACTGCGGGGCATGGGCGGAGGGCGTGACTGCCATGGCGGTGCTGGGCTGCCTGGGTGATCTGTGGCAGGCTGTGGATGTGGTGGGTGGCCCAGTGGGCAGGGCGGAGCAGGGACAGGGGTAGTGGAGCAGTTTTTGGGCACTCGGTCTCTAAAAGGTTCGCCATCAATGGTCTATGCCAGTGGTTCTCAACCTTTTTAATGCCGCGACCCCCCAACTGGTCGTAAGTTGAGGACTACTCAACCGGTCGTAAGTCGAGGTGCAGCACCGTTTGCAGAATGGGACTTTTGGCGGCCCAGCAGGGCAGAGACAGCCTGGACAATTCCTATTGGCTTTTGAAAGCCAATAGAATTAAAGACTCTATTCAAGAGAGTCTATTCTATTGGCTTTCAAAAGCCAATAGAATAAAAGGGAAGAGCCCAGCTAAGGAAAAGGGGAAAAAAAAATGGCGGACTGCGTTGTTTGGCGACCCTCGTGAAATGGTCGTTCGACCCCAAATGGGGTCCCGACCCCCAGGTTGAGAACCACTGGTCTATGCCGACATTCAGACTCGTTTGCGAACACCTTGGCCGGACAACTGCCTCCTCGCCAGGGCACCGCTGGAGGGGTGGCTGCTAAGAAGGCCGAGCTGGTGCCAACCAAGTGGGCTTGTCATTCTTCCCCTTTTGATTTTCACTCTTTCCTTCCAGGCTCAACCCGTCTGCTAACCACCTGACGGAGCCTCCCTGGGTTGCTACTGTCATGCTAGCCGTCTCCTTGGTAGCCGGGACCAAGTTCTGCCTGGATTCTTACAAACAGCAACACTTAGCCAACGAGGACTGAACTACTACTTACTCCACGCTTCCTGCTCAATAAACCTTGTACACCACCAGGGAGTTGCGATTTTGCCTTTGCAGGGGTCTCCAACCTTGGCCATTTTGAAGACTTGTGGACTTCGACTTCCAGCATTCTTCAGCCAGCATACTGGGGCACTTTAAGCAGCCTCGCTGGCTGGGGAATTCAATCAATCAGTCAATCAATCAATCAATCAATCAGAATAGAGCTAGAAGGGACCTTGGAGGTCTTCTAGTCCAACCCACTGCTCAAGCAGGAGACCCTACACAATTTGAGACAAATGGCTGCCCGGTCTCTTCTTAAAACCCTCCAGCGCTGGAGTACCCACAACTTCTGGTGGCAAGCTATTCCACCGATTAATTGTCCTCACTGTCAGGAAGTTTCTCCTTAATTCCAGGTTGCTTCTCTCTTTGATCACCTTCCAACCATTGTTTCTCGTCCTGCCCTCTGGTGCTTTGGAGAATAACCTGACCCCCCTCTTCTTTGTGGCAGCCCCTCAAATACTGGAATGCGGCTATCATGCTGTAGCCATACTTTCCTCCAGACTAGCCCACTCCTGCAATTCCAGGAGTTGAAGTCCCCCCACTCTTTCTTAAAGTTGCCAAGGTTGAGAAACACTGAACTAGGGATACAAAGGTCAGTGTGGCTAGAAGACGTGTGTCCGTACTATCTGCAATCTAGAACTACAGTTCCCGGACAGCCTTGCCTGCAGTCACATGACTTGGAACAGTTTTGAGATTTTAATTCAAGACAGTTTGGCCTTTCCAGATTGGAGAAGGCAGGACTGCAGTTCCCTTTAGAATAGAAATAGAATAAGATAGGAATAGAGTAGGAATAGAATTACAAATAAGAATGGAATAGGAATAGGAATAAAATAGAATAGGAATAGAATTACAAATAATAGGAATAGAATAAAATTACAAATAAGAATAGAATAGGAATAGAATTACAAATAACAGAATAGGAATAGAATTACAAATAAGAATAGAATAGAATTACAAATAAGAACAGAATAGAACAGAATTACAAATAAGAATAGAATTACAAATAAGAATAGAATAGAATTACAAATAAGAATAGAATAGAATTACAAATAAGAATAGAATAGAATAGAATAGAATAGAATAGAATAGAATAGAATAGAATAGAATAGAAGCTGGAAAGGACCATGGAGGTCTTCTTTACTGTCAAATAATCATCAAGTGAGTTTGCCCCTCCTACTGTGGTCATATTATCACACACCCCATTCAACTGGAAGGTGGTCTGTTTGATCTAGGTTTATTCCAGTGTAGGGCAGGGCTCTCCAACTTGGCCACTTTTAAGACTTGTGGACTTCGACTCCTAGAATCACCCAAAGTCTGGAGACTCCTGATGTAGACTCCCAGCCCAGCGTGGCTTGTTTTACAAACTGCAGAGAAGCAAACCACGGCAGAGCCTGAACTTAAAGTGGCTTTTAAGATGATCACGTTTGTAGAAAAAAAGAACAGTATTTAACCTACAACTATTCCACTCAATGTCTTCCACAAACAAGGAAGCATGATCTAATTTTAAAAAAAAGAAAAGAAAAGAAAAATCAACTACCAGTCTTGGGAGAGCTATTTAATTTGGATCCGGTCAGACAGCAAAGGAAACCGTGTTTCTGGTAAAACCAGAGAATCCTGCAGATACTCATGACCCAGGGGTAGGCCACCTTGGCTCTTTTATGACTCGTGGACTTCAACTCCCAGAATTCCTGAGCCAGCCATGCTGAGGGGAAAGGCAGAGGTTACCAAGCTGAGCCAGGCTGGTTCAGGAATTCTGGGAGTTGAAGTCCATGAGTCATGAGGGGGCCATAGTTCCCCCATGCTGGCTCAGGAATTCTGGGAGTTGAAGTCCACCGATCATGAGGGGGCCATAGTTCCCCCATGCTGGCTCAGGAATTCTGGGAGTTGAAGTCCGCAAGTCATGAGGGGGCCATAGTTCCCCCATGCTGGCTCAGGAATTCTGGGAGTTGAAGTCCACGAGTCATAAAAGAGCCAAGGTGGCCTACCCCTGTCATGACCATATAATAAATTGGCCCTGAATACTTAACAGGTTTAAAGGGAGGCTCCGCCCTCCCTTTGTGGTCAAAAAAAGCCCGAGGTCAATCGGCTTCTCTTTCCATGCTCAGAGGATCTCTCTCCACCTGGGATCAAGGAACAAAATGACTCAACGGGACACGTGGGTCAGCCTGGCTTACCAGCTTTACTCAAACAGTGACCTCACCACCGAGGGCTCCCACGTTTCCCGTTTTTAAGACAAAAGGTTGCCAGATTGAGCGGAACTGGCACGCGCATACACACACACACACAGTCTCACACACACAAGAAAACAAAAATCTGGAGGAGAAACCACAGCCCACAGTCCCAGCCTGCAGTGAGGGCACATTCAGACGATCATTTCCAACTGCCGAGCGTATTCGATGACTTGCTTGGCCAGCTCGGTGGAGGGGATGGTGGCGTCTTCCGCTTTCTGCTGCTGCCCCGTGAAGCAGTAGTGGTTGTTCGGACCCAGGAGCCAGCCTCGCTGGAAGGGGAGGAGAAGCTGCGTGAGTTGAGGGATGGAGGGCTGTGTGGATGAGCCCAACAACGCAGCCGAGGAAAACTCATTGCCCACAAGGGAAGAGGGAGCGAGGAGGGAAAGAAAGGAAAGGAAAGGAAAGGAAAGGAAAGGAAAGGAAAGGAAAGGAAAGGAAGGAAGGAAGGAAGGAAGGAAGGAAGGAAGGAAGGAAGGAAGGAAGGGGTTGACTGGAAGGAAGGAGAAAGAGTAGGGTTGGCAGGAAGGAGCGAGAAAAGGAAAGGGAGAAAGAAAAAGGGAGGAGAGGGGAGGAAACAGTTGGCTGGCTGGCGGGCGGGCGGGAAGGAAGGAAGGAAGGAAGGAAGGAAGGAAGGAAGGAAGGAAGGAAGGAAGGAGAAAGAGTAGGGTTGGCAGGAAGGAGCAAGAAAAGGAAAGGGATAAAGAAAAATGGAGGAGAGGAAAGAGTTGGCTGGCTGGCAGGCAGGCAGGCAGGCAGGAAGGAAGGAGAAAGGGGTTGGCAGGAAGGAAGGAGAAAAGGAAAGGGAGAAAGAAAAAGGGAGGAGAGGAGAGGAAAGAGTTGGCTGGCTGGCTGGCAGGCAGGAAGGAAGGAAGGGGTTGGCAGGAAGGAAGGAGAAAAGGAAAGGGAGAAAGAAAAAGGGAGAGGAGAGGAGAGGAAAGAGTTGGCTGGCAGGCAGGCAGGAAGGAGAAAGAGAAAAAGGGCCGTCCGGAAGGAGGGCAGGGAAAAGAGACAGAAAAGAAAAAAGAGAAAGAAAAGAAAGAGAAAAAGAAAGACATTCCCCCACAGAGGAAGCCAAAGCAGCTCCAGAATCCGCACGGCCAGGCTGACAGCTCGAGAGGAACGTGGGCAGCGTTGGGCCCTGGTCAGCGGAGCTGCCCTCCCAGCGCCTGGCCCAGCCCGGCCCTCACCTTCTTGGCGTAGTCGGACATCTTTTTGGGGGTGAAGAACAGCATGCGGGTGGCCTCATTGAGGAGGATCTTCTCGTAGGCCTTCTCGATGCAGCTGGCAATTTCATCCCTGGGGGGGGGGAGAGGGAGAACCCAGATTAACCCCAGCCGAGAAAGAAGCACCGAGACCCGAACCCAGAAAAGGCTTGGGGGGGGGCATCCCACGAGGTCCAGGGAAAGAGAGGCTGGGCACAGAAGTACTTCTCAATGGTGGTCTTCGTTTAAAACCAGGATAAAACCCAGCAGGGCTCTGACCGTAAACAACCATGATTTACAGTTGGGCAAAAGGCACAAATATTGCCCAGCCACCGTCAAACCCGATCCTGGTCAGCGTGCCTTGTAAACCTGACACCCCTTGACGTAACGTGAGCCTGGAAGGCTGGTTCTCGGGCAGTTGGCAAACCGGCACGTAACCAGGATGATCGCAGCTTCCCCGGGATCCTTGGTTTTCCTGGCCAGCCAAGTTAAGGGAAGAAGCTGGCCTTGCTTAACAACTCAATTAACAAGGGCCGAGTTTCACTTAAAACTGTCGCAAAAAAAAAAAAAAAAAAAGGTTGCAAAACTCCGGGACGTCTTCCTGCTTCGCCGTGGAAATTCTGGTCTCCATTGTAGTCGTAAGTCAAGGATTACCTGTACAGGTAGTCCTCCGCTGACGACCACGATTGAGCCCGACGTTTCCGTTGCTAAGTGAGACACTGGCGAAGCAAGTTTTGCCCCCGTTTTACAACCTTTATTGCCACCGTTGTAAAGGGACTCGCTGCCCTTGTTAAATTAGTAACGTGGCTCTTGAAGTGGATTCCCCCCCCTTTGACTTGGCTTGTCAAAAGGATGCAAATGGGGATCACGTGACCCCCCGGGGGACGCTGCGACCGTCGTAAAGGTGAGCCGGTCGCCAAGGGACTGAATTCGGATCACAGGGATGCTGCAACGGTCGTTAAGTGTGAACAACGGGTGGTAAGGCAATTTTTTCAGTGCCGTTGTAACCTTGAATGGTCCCTGTTATAAGTCAAGGACTACCTGTAGTTAGAGGGCCCCCCCCACCCCCCCAAGCTGAAAGGAGCGACACACACCTGACTGTGTCCAGCAGGATGTCAATGAAAAATGCGTAACTCTCCGCCGGGATGTTGCCTTTGGCCAGGAAGACTTTGTTGTAACTACCTTCCATCAGGTACTGAAGAGGAGAACAGATTACACAACCATCACCACAACCACCACAACAAAACCATCCTTGAAATCCGTCTCACAACAAGCGGAGGGGTGATGATACGGGGTGCGGAGATGGGGTGGTTCCCTGCTGCACGAGAGTTACACTGATATTCAAGAAATGGCAGAACGGAGTCATTAAAGCAGTGTTTCTCAACCTTGACCATTTTAAGGCATGTGGACTTCGACTCCCAGAATTCCACAGCCAGCAATGCTGGCTGTGGAATTCTGGGAATTGAAGTCCACATGCCTTAAAATAGTCAAGGTTGAGAAACACTGCATTAAAGGAAGGATGCCAAAATGAAACGTTGAGTGACAAAAACAGAAACAAGGGCAAGGTCATTTTAACTACTTAAAATTTTGAATGGTTGAACTGTCCCACAGCACGTTGTCCCAAGTTGTGAGTTGCCGAGGTGAGTTGGACGCGCCAGGTTGTCCCATTCCGGCGGAGAGGGGCACATCCCGAATATGTACACGGCTGGGTTTTTCATCGACCCACTTTGGGGATTTTGATAT